CAGCTATGACGGATTTATGGTCAGCAATGACTCAGAAAAAACAAAACAAACAACCAAAAAGAAAATAAGGATCTTAAGAAAATGATAGAAAGTTTGTTCTGCGCGCTGACAAAATTTTTTCAGCTATGACTGTCATATTACCCATCAGATGACCGTCACTGTTTTTGTAGGGTACATAACAAATGTAAACAAATAGATGTGTGAACTGTCAATGAAAACTCATCAAAAACACAAACTGTCGGTCAGAACGACTTTGGTTCCACAATCCACAAATTGCGTTTTCAAGAGGATTTCAATTCGGTGCGAACATAGAATAAGCCGTCTCTAGTCACTGTTTGAGACATTTTGAAGTAAAGTCCCAATTTGTGACAAGTTACAACATACAGCAGAGATAAAGAGCTGCCCAACTCGTCTCTCACTGAAATTGAGAGCGCAATTGCTAAACGTCAAAACCTCCTGAACTCAAGCACCTGTCAAAGTTCAGGAGGTCTGACGTTTAGCAATTGGAAAAAGAGGGACGGCTAGACTGAAATCCTACAGAAAAATATGTCAACAGAGAGATTTCTTGCCACTGTTAAAGATCATTAACAAAAATTGGAAAACGCGAAATCTTTTGTGATATCTTTTGTGATACCATGCTTAGTAGTATTGATTTTCAATTAAAAATTATAAAAAACATGTATCCATTGACAGCTAATACATTTATTCTTTTGATTAAATGTTGAAAGTTTAAAAATCAAAAGTTTTAATATATGACAAAATCACAAAATAGGGTTTAAATAGTTTCTGCATATGTTTAATGGATACATGTATATTAATATTTAATCTAAATAAATGTTGGATATTTTAATTTAAATGCCCTAAAATTATTATTTTGACTGATCTGGCTACAATGCAAAATGTTATAAAAAACGCTCATTTTGAGGTGCTCTCACACTGGAAAGAGTTGGGCATCCCATTATCCCTGACATACAGTCTCTAGTCTTTAGCCTCAAACTCCTGTTTCGAATTTGTCACCTAATAGTAAGCAGGTTACAAAACTAATAAGCATTTTTGTTTTCTATTTTGAATATACTAAAACCTCACTTACGGTGCAGTGACACGATCACTTGCCTTCAAGTTAATCACACACACAAACAAAAACAGCCGTGACGGAGGCTGCAACCAACAAACATAATGTTGTCATAGAAACCGCTTAAATTCTTGAAAATTTTGCAAGAAATAAATAATAAATAATGGATTGATACGTTTTATTTTTGATATCATTCCATGAATATAACAAAATATTCATATTCACGACAATTGTATATCATTTGTTTGCAAATCTATGTGATCAAACTTGCCCGGGTTATAGAGAGGATTTTATATTTTATAAGTAATAATAAATATCGTAACTATTGCAAAGTCAACACTTCATTTCAATTTTTATTGATAATCATTCGTTTTGACGGCGTTATATATAAATATATAATATGTTATCGACAAGCTTATTTTCATTTAGGTCATATATACCTATGTACATCTCTGAATAACGAAATGTAACAGGTGATTAGATCTGTTCGTTTTCAATTCAGAGATTTTTGTGACTGTCACGTACTGAATTGCAAAATCGTCTCAAGTTACGAAATTTTCTCTAATTTAAACACTCAAATTTAGAGACTTGTGACCATCGTAAAGGGGGAGTAGAGAAAATATCAGCTGATCATGTGTAAACAAAGCTACAGCTGAAAGGTGTCCATGGAGAAACGTCAAGTCCGGCTAAGGGTTGAGTTTCTATTGACATAGAAGACTTTTGAACGAAAAATGGTTGCATATAGCTATTTTCTCTTAATTTATGAAAAAAGTTGCCCAAAAAATATTGGTTATATGTAAAACTTTTGTATTTTTTCAAAATAAAATCAGTTTATTTTAATATAAATTCTTAAAAGAGCCACTGTTATTGGCAAATTCAAGAATAATTAAGAGCTATATTTGTGCCTATTTTTAAATTAATTAATATTCACCACAGAAAAATGAAAGATGCAATTAAGCAACCATGTCATATAACGGGATCCACAAAATGCTTATTCAACGAACCTTTAGACAAGTTTTATAAATTTATACAAAAATAATAATAATATTAAAAACAATACTCAAAAACAACTCACCTTTGTAAAAATAAGTTCGTCCATCTCAAAAATATTCAAATATGTTGCCAGTATTGATACTGATCATTGCATAACAGTGTTGCGTAAGCTAGTTTTAAACTACTTTTTAAAAAAGGATATATCTACCGTATTTTATACTTTAATATTTTAATTGTTTACGTAAAGAGTTATAATAAAATATTATACATATTTTCATCGCTACATGCTGATATAGAACCAGCTACCTGGTATACCTACCGTATTTTATACTGTTGTATTAAGATATTGCAACTTCAACAAATAATTTATTTTAGAAGTCTATATATTTAAAAACTAAACTAAGAACGATATAATAATATGGTAATGAGTTGTAATAAAATATGGTACATATTTTCATCCCTAAATTCTGATACATAAAACGTAAATAAAAATTGTGATTAAATAAATCTATACCTAAATAAGAGAAAGCATCGGCTCAGTAACTATTTCTTGATATATCTACAATAATAAATTTTGCTTTATTGTTTAAATGAATTAATATGACTTGTATGACAATGATAAGATTTGCTTTATGGATTATATGAATTATTATGACTTATAATATCAAATTCTGTTACAATAGTTATTTCTTTCCGTACACTCATAATTTAATAAAATGTTTTACAGTTTGTCCATTAATAAGTTAATTAATATCATATTTTGTTAACAGCAATAAACATCTTTCTATAACCAAAATTGAAAAAATTTATATATAATTATTACGGCGTTTTTTGTATGCGCAACTCGTTGTAACCCCTCGTGAACGTACGCCTCGGTCGTGACGAAAGTACTGTGAATGGGTACTTTCGCTACTTCGTTATACTATGCTTGTGACTGTATTAAAGTACTAAATATACCTATTTCATGCCATTCATGAAGGTTTGACAGAGCTATTTTCAGCTCACGAAATACAATCAGACCTAACTTAGTAACAGTTTCTCTACAAGTATTTATGCTACCATGCTTATTTGCGCATTTGCAAGGCAAGGTACCGCAATATAGCGCCTATGCGTCGCCAACTTCAAATGACGCTGTGGCACATACACTTATCTACAAAATATTAGCCCTCTAACGTAAGCATGTACACTGAACTACAAAGTACAATACATGTGTGGTACTAGTGAAATGGGAATGATTAAACAACAACTACTTAGAAATATAACAGATTAAGTATTTTCAAAGAATAACCCTTATCGATCCAACCCGGGGTTTTCAGTTCTTTTTCGTCGAATTGATTTCTGCATTGTTTCATAATTCTTTCGCGTCAAATTACTTTCTGCATTGGAGGCCTTTGGCCGCGCTTCAAAAATATAACCCTAATCGGTTCAACACCAGGGTGCTCATAGGTCTTTCGCGTCGAACTATTTTCTGTACCGGCGGCCATCGGCTACCCTTTAAAAAACTCTGGGCGGTACAACACCGGGATTTATCGAGAGAAGTCAAATACTAAAGATTTAACATAACCCATCAATGGTATAATCTTGCTCTTTTTGTCTATTTTTGTTCGTTTACAAAATATGGATATGGTAGACATATAGATAGATACTTAGTTAGTTAAAGGAGGATATGCACTGCGACGATTGGTCTATTGTGCCCTCTAGCTCTTTTCATATTGCTTAATCATCCCCAAAGCTCTTAAAAACTCCAGAATACTTGAGGGGTTGATGGTTTTCATATGATGTGGCTTTGGCTGCATACATCCTTAATGTGCGAGCCTTCTTCTCGTCACCTTTATTTCCTTTTTTTTACAGCTGAAGAGGCTAAGCCGTCAGCCATACTACCGAAAACAAAGGGCGTGACGCCCGCGTAATCATTGCAGATGTGGCCCGGAACCGAATTGTCATCGGCGTTCTGGATGAGGGGGACCCAGAGCCCAATGGAAATGAGTGCAGGCTGCGCTGACAAATATGGCGCTGAAAGTGCTACTTAGCAATCTAGGTCCGCCACCGTCATGCACAGATGCCGGCTGGTACCAGGGCCAGATTAAAATGATTGCTTGCGATGACGAGAGGTCGGTCGCACTATACAAAGCTACTATAGCCAAGGTAGGGGAGGTATACCCCGGCGCAAAACTGGTAGCAGTAGATAGAAAAGACATACCATCCAGACCAAGAGCACGGGTATGGATCCCGGCTACACCATCACAGCCGGATCAGATTATGCAGCTCATAAGACATTGCAACCCGAGTCTGCCCACGGAGGGGGGAAGTTCGTCAAGGAATTTGACGATAGTGTAGCAGAATCTGGCGTGGAGACCAAAAGGGCCACGATGCAGATTCTGCTGTTACTAACAAAGGAATCCATCGAACCGCTGGCGAAAAGTGGCGGGGAGATAAACTACGGATTCACGAAAGTGAGAATTACACCGTACAAGTCGGACGCCGATGCTACAGACCATCTAGCATCGGAAAGCGAGGCATGCGAATTAGAGGAAGATCCTATGGAGTCCTCGAGCGATGTAGAAAGTATAGAGCAAGGTGAGTGTTCTTCCGGGTCTGGGCTTGCTGCCAAACTCTCGGACTTGTATACTGAGAGAGAGCTTTTAAGCGACTCAAAGGAAGACGCAGATACAACATTAGTTAATGTGTCTTCTACAAATTAATCGTCATCACAGCAAACTAGCTTCAGCTGCCCTAATTAACCGCGTGGCAATAGAACAGTCTGAGTTTGTCCTCATTCAGGAGCCATAGGTTAATGGAGGGCGTATTTGCGGACTGGGGACACCGAGCTATAGGTAATTTAATAATTAAATTATTACATCATTACAGCAACAACGACACAGCAACAGTAAGCTGGAAAACGAGCACATGCAGTTATCGGCTGTTGTCGTGCTACATGCCATACGAGGAAGAGCTGGCGCCACCTCTGATGGTAAAAGAGGTGGTACGGGATAGCGAGCCATCCAAGTGCACGATTATACTTGGATGTGACTCAAACGCTCATCACACAGTCTGGGGCAGCACAGATGTCAACGACAGAGGTGAGTGTCTCTTCAATTACCTACTAGGCACAAAGGTACTGTTGTGTAATAAGGGAAGTACAGCAACGTTTATCACAAGAAGCCGACAAGAAGTACTGGATACCACGCTTGTGTCGGAAGTACTATTTTACAGGATAATCCAATGGAGAGTCCTCGAAGAACATTCCTTTTCCTATATTAAAAGAAAGGGCCGATAGAGCCATTGACTTCAGGAATCTTAAGAAAACGAACTGGCAGGTGCACATGTATGGAAGATCTCGACATCCTCGTTATTGGATTCACTGAATCTTACCGCCAAGCATTAGAAGTGGCTTGTCAAATAACATAAAGTAGGGGTAGAACTAGGCCCCCCTGGTGGTCTCCCGAACTTAAAAAGTTACAGAAAGAATGCAGAAAGCAGTTCAATCTAGCCAAACAATCCCAAGGCGAGTCAGACTGGGATTATTATGACAACCTCCTTGGGTCATACAGAAAGGGAGTTAGAAGAGCAAAAAGAAATTCTTGGAAATCTTCTTGTAATGATATCGAGAACACAGCGGAAGCATCAGGACTTAGGAAAATAATGGCACAATCGGTGCATAGTATCGGTTATCTTCAGAAGCTAGACGGCAGTTGGATGGTATCCAGTGAAGAGTCGGTGAGACTACTAGTGGATACCCACTTCCCAGGCAGTTCTGAAAGTCATACGGTTGGATATACTTAAGACAGTGGAGCAGAAATAGACTCCACTTTTATAAACACAGTGTCAGAAAGCATCGTACATTGCGCAATAAAAAGCTTCAAGCCCTTCAAGTCGCCGGGACCAGACGGTCTATTCCCGGCTCAATTACAGGAGTCGCATAATTACATAATGGATTGGCTAGTTACCATTCTTAAGGGGGCGCTGCAATTAAACTATATCCATTCGCTGTGGAGGGAAGTCAAGGTAATATACATACCTAAGGCAGGTAAAAGCTCGCATACAAGTCCAAAAGACTTCAGACCAATTATGCTCTCCTCATTCCTTCTAAAAACTCTGGAAAGGCTAATAAAACTACATATAAGAAACAAACCAAAACCAGATAAGTTGGCTGGTTCGCAGCATGCATATTCTAAAGTAAAATCCACACAAACAGCATTGAGCTCTGTGGTGGCGAAGATTGAAAAATCTCTGCAAGTTAAAGAATTCACTCTAATTGCCTGCTTTGATATAGAAGGAGCCTTTAACAACATTCAGCCTAGGGCCATACTGAGTGCGCTTAAGGATCTGGACATATCTGAACCTCTCAGAAAATAAAATGAACAGATGCTCACGAGCAGAAGGGTACACCTCAAGGAGGCGTGTTATCCCCACTTATCTGAACCCTGACAATGAATAAGTTGCTGTGGTATCTAGAAAAAAAGGGGGTACATGTTGTGGCCTACGCTGACGATGTGGCAGTATCAGTTAGAGGTAAATTCCCGATTAAACTTAAATGTTGATAAGACAGAGCTATAATTGCTCACCAGAAAGCATAACACTCCAGTAGTTACGGAGCTATTATTAAATGGTTGCAGACTAACAATTGGAGATAAGGCAAGCTACCTTGGACTAAACTTGGATGCTAGGGTGAAGAAACAGCCACAGCACACACGCCTCGGATAGCTTATTGGCTCTATACAGCAGTTGTCAGACCAATCATGACATACGACATATTGGTATGCTGGCTAATAATGGATAAGAAATACGCGGTAAGGCGTATGGAAAGTATACAAAGACCAGCCAGTATATGCATTAGTGGAGCTCTTAAAACAACGCCTAGCCAGGCACTAAACGTCATTCTACACTTATTGCCAACAGACTTTTTCCGTAAGCAAGTAGCAGCAAAGTCAGCTCTCAGACTAAGGGAATCTTCCCAATTCATCGCCAGCAACAAGGGACACTCTAGAATACTTTGTTTATTTCCGTTTCTACCCAAAACCACGGATTTCCGAAATCCAATAGAATTGAAGCTAAATTCGGTCCACAATATTGCCTTCGCCACAAGAGAGGAAAGGGCAAGGGACGAGGTGGACAGGAATGAAGGAATAAGCATCAACACGGATGGATCAAAACTAGATAAACAGGTGGGAGGTGGTGTCTTCTCTGCAACTTTAGTCACCAAAATAGCCTTCCGCTTACTAGACCACTGCATTGTTTTCCAGGCGGAGATCACAGCAATAAAAGAAAACCTTGTTGTATTGACAAAAAGTGTGCTCACAGCAAGGATCATATATATTTATACAGATAGCTAAGCTTCCTCGAAATCACTCAAGTCTCCTATGGTTTCATCAAAGATAGTGAAAGAATGTCTTGATCTATTAGAGGATCTAACATCCTATTTCACGATAAACCTGCAATGGGTTCCAGGGCATAGTGATATCCCTGGTAACTGCGAAGCAGATGAACTAGCCAAAACAGGTACCACTCTACAATTAACCCCTGAAAAAGAGGGTATTTTTATGCCTTTGGCAACTTGCAAACACTTAATCAGCGAACATCCTGTAAATCTAGCTGAGTCTCGGTGGAGACAATCAATAACCTACTCAACCAGCAGACTAACGTGGCAGGAATGGAGCGTGAGTCGCACACCGACTACTAAAATTCAAAAGAATGACATAAGAACTCTGACAGGAGTAATAACGACTATTGTAGAAACTGTAAGGAGGTAGAAGAAGAGGAGTCTGTAAACCATCTTCTATGCGAATGTAAAGCTGTATACAGGAAAAGAATCACAACTATAGGACGTGGGTTCCTTGACGACGTATCAGAAGTTGCTAATATTTATAAAATTATTTGTACTGATGAGCCTCATCAGAAGCACAAGTTGGTTCAGAGAGGAGACGATAGAGTGAGGGAACATTATTCCCGGTGGTATCACAATGGGCCTCCTATAGGCCTAGGTGCGTCGTTAGACAGCCACTCTACCTACCTACCTACCTATTTCCTTTTTATTTCCTTTTCCACCTATCTTATTTATTCTTTTATTGTGTGAGGGCTTATCGGGAAGATTGGTTTAGGTCTCGTCGGCTGGGCCGAGGCCGCTTCTTTCGCAAGATTGTTTGTTATTTCGGTTCCTTTTATACCTGTATCTCTTGGAACCCACAGTAACCGAACTGTGTTAAGGTCGCTTACTGCATTTAGTTTCTTGACACATTGCATCTATTCCTTCTGTTGTTTTTGATTCATCAGTGTACCACATTTGTGAGAGTTTATTTCTTCCTTTATGTACGATCTCTTTTCTCCTAGAGCTATGCTGAATTTGAAGTTAAAATTTATGGTCTTCGGTATTTCGTCCTGTTAAAGTTGGATAGTGGAATTGTTTCCCGTATTTCTGCTGCTTTTTTGGATCTAATGATCTTTCGTTTTCCTGTACTATCTTTCATTATTGTTAATAGTGTTTTCTTTTGCGAAATCTCTATTACTTTGTGAAGGGGTGTGTGGTCAAGTATGGCTTCTAGTGCTACTGTGGGGCATGTTTTAATGCAGCTTGTTATATAATCATACGCTACTCTTTGGAATTTCTCTGGTGTCGTTTTGGCTGAATTTAGTTTTACTCTTTTTGATCAGTCAATTGCTCTATATGTTATTACCGGTTATACTATCATACTTGTAGTATACATTCAGTGGAGTATCGTGGGAATGCATCCAAATGTCTTTCCAGCTATTCTTCGGTATATCATCAGTGACCTTGTCGCTTTGTGAGCATGGTAACACTTTTTATTTGTTTATATGCAACCATTTTCTTATTGTGTAAATCAGTCAAATTTAAATAAATGTGTAAAAACTATTTAGGGATGTGTTAGCGGATATGATGTTGAATAATATAAGTGTATAATTGCATAATTTAATTTTTAGACTTTAAATGCGAATATCTCAAAAACTATAAGTCTCCTGCGGCTATCTTCTTCATCGGAAAAACATTCTCAATCCGCCCATACCCATTTTATCCCCCGAATGAGAAGGATGCTATACTAAAGGCGTAGGTCCAATTCTGGCTGGCTTTACTTGCTTTCTTTCACTCGACTTACTTTGAATGATCGTATTACCAAATGAACGTTTTGAACGCTTTCAAAAAAATCAGCTGAAAGAAAAGAAACAGAAGGAAACACGGTTGCCACTCACTTCATTTTGGTGTATCAAACAAAACATATTGTAACGGATTTCTCGATAAATCGTCTACCTCTAACTCACTCTTGAGTTTGATCATTGGATTGTTAAATTAAAGTCCCAATATAATAGCTATACACTTATCTTTATTCCAACAACTTAACACTTATTGCTCGATATTTGAGTTTATAACTTATTGCTTATAGGTTAAATGCTTTTTACACGGCAACACTCTAATTAGAACTGTGTCTGCTGCACAATCCGGAAGCCCTTATATAGTAAATTTTTAACAAAAGTTCGCTACTAGAACATTCTGGCAACTACGAATTCGCTGTCTGGTTGCTTCTGGCAGTTTATCGTCAATTCTGATTTGTTCTGGTACTCGTGTTCGCCACACTGCCCTCTACCTAAGTCTGATCGTCCCGATTAGACATATTTGCGGTACCAAACGCTGCAAGCAGTTCCAAATGAACCACCTTCATTTTATTCCTTGGTCTTCCAATGGTCTGTATGCGATACACTACATCATTGAGTCGTTTAATAACCTGGTATGGTCCTTCCCAATTACACTGTAATTTAGGAGATAACCCTTTCTTTTGTTGTGGGTTATATAACAATACCCAATCGCCTTCAATAAAACCCTCAGAGTTTATTGCCCTGTCGTATTTTGCTTTCATCTTATCGCTTATAATTTTGGTGAGCTGTCTCACCATAGCATGTATATCCCTCATCTCGTCTTCTAGGATGCTATTGAATTCCTTAGTATTCCTTCCTTTGTTGCCGTTAATTCCAAATTCTAAATCAATCGGTAGTCGAAGATCATTACCAAAAATTACCCTTGCTGGAGTCTGCCCCGTTGTTTCATGTACAGCAGACCGATAAGCCATCAGGAACAAGGATATAAGGGTATCCCAATCTTTCTGATACTTGTCCACAACTTTCCTCAAATGTTCTTCCAAAGTTCGATTGAATCGTTCTACCATGCCATCGGACTGCGGATGTAGTGCAGTTGTACGGATTTTCTGGATACCCAGCTTCTGGCGTATCTCCTGTATTAGAGCTGATTCAAAATTTCTTTCTTGGTCAGAATGTAATTCTATTCGGAACACCATATCTCGATACCCAATTGTTGATGATTACACCCGCTACTGTTCCTGCCTCTTGGTTAGAAATTGCGTATACCTCTGGCCATTTGCTGAAATAGTCCATGACTACCAAAACATATCTTTTTCCTAATTTACTGATAGGAAATGGACCAGCTACATCAATGACTTCTGGACCACAGCCCTTTAGCAGCAATGCACTTGCACGGAGGCGATCCACTCCGTAACTGATTGACGACAACCAACCCAATAAAATCTTTGTTTTAATTTCTCCAAGGTTTATTGATACCCATGTGTCCTCCACTTGGACCGTTGTGGAGCTCGTTGAGAACTTCAGGAATTCTTACTTTTGGAACAATCATCAGAGCTCGTGAACTTTGCCCATCTTCACTTTCCCATACGCGATGCAAGCAGCCAGACACTAACTTCAAACTATTCCATTGTGCCCAATAAGCCTTTTTTGACTGGGCTTTCTGCAGCTATTTCTTCTCTCGTTGGACGTTTATTCATCTCCAATCCGTGTATTACACATTTCAAATCTGGATCCTCTTGCTGACATTTCCATAGCTCCTCCGGCTTCCAGTCTGATGTTATAGTCATTAGTCGGACATCTATAATGTCTTCTCTGGCCTCAGCTTTTGAGCAATGTCTGCATTCCAGATTACAGGGACGGCGGGACATGGCATCAGCATTGCCATGACTACTACCTTTGCGATGTTCTATAGAGAAGTCGTAACTCTGGAGTCTCTCAATCCACCGTGCCAACTGTCCTTCTGGGTTCCTGAATTGTAGAAGCCATTTTAATGCTGTATGATCCGTCCTCACCCGTTGGCCATAAAGTTACTTATGAAAATGTTTGACCAACGCCAGTAATTCCCTCCGAGTAACACAATAATTTCTTATTTCTCAGTACTTAACCGTTTCTTCAGAGTTTGGAAAGCCACTTCCTGTTCTTTACTCCATTCAAAAACTCTGTTCTTTTTCATGAGCTCATGGAGGCTACTAGCTACGCTGGCAAAATTTGGAACGAATCGTCTATAATAAGTACATAGTCCAAGGAAACTCCGCAATTCATGTAAATTTTTGGGAGTGGGCCAATCTCTTGCTGCCTCGATCTTTTCATTAGCTGTACAAATGCCCGCCGTTTTTCCTTTGTGTCCTAAGTAGCTTACTTTCTTTTTGAAAAGGGAACACTTCTGTGGACTCAGCTTCAGACCAGCGCTAGCTATTCGTTGGAAAACCTGTTCCAAGTTCTTAAGGTGTTCATCGAAGCTTTTACCCAACACGATGATATCGTCGAGGTGTACCAAACAGGTCTTCTACGATAAATTGCCAAAGACCATCTCCAACGCTGAAAGCCGTCTTTTCTTTGTCTTCTTCGTTTACCTCCACTTGCCAATAACCACTTTTTAAATCAAGTGTTGAGAACCATTTTGTGCCCGATAACGAGTCCAGTGTGTCATCGATTCTAGGTAGTGGATAACTGTCTTTCTTCGGTACATCATTCAACCTTCTATAGTCCACACAAAATCATGTTGCCATCGTTTTTCTTCACAAGTACTACAGGTGAGCTCCACGGACTCTCTGATAGTTCGATTACGCCGCTTTCGCTAATTTCACGTATCGTCTGGTATACAACTTCACGTATTGCTAAAGGTATGCTCCGAGGAGCCTGGCGGATTGGTCTTGCACCACCTGTGTTAATAAAATGTTTCACAACTTTGGTTCTTCCTGGTTTAGCATCGTTTTTATCAATGGATGAGTATCTGAGGAGAAGTTGTTTAGCCGTAGTTTGATAGTTTGCCTCTAATTCCTCGATCCATGCGTTAATTTCGCTCGATATATCGTTTTCACCCATGGAATCTTCCTCAAGACCTATTTCGCAATTTATCACGGCCTGAATCTCTTGTCAGCTCCTACAACTTACCCCCTAATACAGCTCCTTGGGAGCGTTTGATTGGTAAGTTGTACTTATTAAGTACTCTTACTGGAACAGGTTTATCTTGTCTTGTCGTAGCCAAGGTTTTGCGTATAAGTAAGTTTGGTGTAGATTATTTTGTGGCCTCAACAATCCACCATTTGTGTGGCCCATAGTCTCCATCTATTTCTGCCCAAATAACTGCTTCTGATATTGGTGGTACTTAATATCGTAACCGAACTTAAGTGGCACTTCCATATTTCCATAGGACATAATCCTGACTTCGTCACCGATACCTACCACCATAAAACTGTGTAACACGGCTGACTTTCACATTACGATCTCGCACGTTACCTTCCCGAGAACTAGGGTATCTTCTCCAGCTGCAGTACGCCACTTT